TGATTAATCGCAAGCTTTTATATTAATTTATTTGTTTTACGAAATTCTGTCTTTTTCTTGTACCTAGAAAGCTTTGACGAATCTGTAAGCACACTTTTATGGTACAATTAACAATAAATAAAATGTTGCTCTGTTATAAAGCAATGAATGCTTTGCTAAGATTCCTTGTTTATTTACTTTCTTTGACTGATTAAATTAAGCTGTATGTTTGTAACAATACTTTAACAAAGTGACATGTGATAACAAATTTGGTTAATAGATGTTAGCACTTTATATCTGGCTGAACAATCTTTACACCTTATGTTTACACAAAAACGCTTTGATTCCTTTACAAAAACCAAAAATTAAACCTTTGCTTTCTACCAAAGAAAATAACCAAGATCAAGTTACAAAGTTCTATACCACTCTGTTAAATAAACAAATGGACAATCAAACCTACTGTTTAATTTCCAACTACAAAAATGTTTTTATTAAATGAAAAGAATTAATTTATGTTTGTTACAGAAATTAATTAACAAACAAAAATAATTAAATTTCTGTATTAATTAAATAGTAGATAGTTCATAGTCCATAGTCATTAGTCATTTTCTGTGTTTAATAAAATAGTAATAGAACAATTTTATCAAAGTTCTAGTCAATCATATTGCAAACGTGCAACCCAATATTTTACATTAAGACAATTGAAAAATGGACATTTAAATATATTTATGACATTACAACATGTCAAAAGTCATATTAAATCCAAATTTCCAAATAATGAAAGTGAACAATAATAAAATTGTTAAACAACTTTTTATCCAATGAATGCAAACAACAATAATAAAATTGTTTAATTATTAAAAAAATGGTGGCAGTTAGTTATCAGGAAAATATTGCTGCTGATATATAAAGAGAATAGAGGTTGATCATATTGATCCTTTAACAAATGATGAAATAGATATTGATCTTACAAGTATTATCAGAAATGTATCCCACTGTTAAGATACTTAACAAGATGAACATTTATTTCTTGTATTCTGCTAAATAATTTTTTTTTAACCAGTCCAAAAAGGTCATATCAATGGCAAGAGTATGAAGTGATATCCAAATGAAAACCAAAAAGAAACCCATAGACTTCATTTATCAACACCAATAGTTAATAATTGTAAAATATATGAATCTAATGATGATGATGTTAGAGAGGTTTGTGATTATAGTGAATATAATAGTAGTACTGGAATAGATTCCACATCAGAAGAAATAGATATTCAA